TTATCCTTTACTGTCAGAGCTTCCTCTAGAGTGGATTATCTGCTCTTAGCAAAGAATATTATTTTCTAGGGAGCTAGGTCTGTGGTCTGAACATTGTTACTTTGAAGTTGGATAAAACTGAAAGAGTGTTCGCATTCACATTTTTTCCATAAAATTCTACAGCTTGCTTTCCTGAGCATGTGTCTCCTTTGTGTTCTTACAGCGGGGAATCTGCCGACCAGCAGGCTTGTTACGCCCAGTATATTGTATGGTCCTGTTCTGTAATGATGATTTTTAAAAAAGACAGAAACAAGTTAAGCTGCAAGTAGGAAAAAAGAAGGTAGAAATCTGTTAACCTTATGACTTTTTACCAAGATATCTGTTACTCTTGTAGGCATTGAGGATCTACAGTAGGATTAGACTAAATTTTAGTCATCTGTAATTACTTCTTTCCTGCCCACCCCTGCCCCAGTTTACCATTATTAAATTCTAATGCAAATAAGACAATAACAGGTGGTCCTGAATGCCCTGAACCCTTTGGCCCCCATCCTGTTCCTTGAGGTGCCATGTGATTGACCACTCTTCCATATTCTTTGTATGAATCTTGCCTGGCCTATTTCCAAGTCATCATAATTAACTTCTTTCTGTCTCCACAATGCCAAGACAGAGTCACTCACTGACATACTAACTTCCTGAGAGGAGGGAATTGTTCCATCTTCTGGTTGTCTATGGCCATACCACCCAGAATGCACCCAATCTCATCTGAAAATGTTCCGTCTTTGGTTCAGGGTTCTGTATTTTGGTGGGAGCCTCTTGTGCCAAGAGTGGTGTTACTGAGTGGGCCACCCAAAAGAGATGTTAGGGAAGAACCGTTCATCACCCTCAGATGACTCCACATATATACTTTTTCAGCCCATCTACTTGCTGTAAACCTCACTAACAGAGTGGCAGGTGTTTTCAGACTTGCTGGGAAGTCAGTCTTCATTGGCAAATTATGAGGCAAACCGCAATGGAAAATAAAACATATAAATGTCAGAAATAATCTGTTATCCTTCTCTCCCCTTACTGTCTCTTTATCCCTTTTTCAACCGCAAACCATGTTTGCTTCTTAAATTTACAAAAAAACTTCCTTTGACTTGGGAAAGAAATCTACTGCAGTGCCTTAGAAGAAGAGCCCTTCCATTTTGTTACCCCACTTCCATATGCTGCATTGTTTCTCAAATACTTTTTTTTTTTTTTAAGTTCTAATTATTTCCTTTTATTTTAAGTATCTTTAAAAAGTCGCTCTTTGGGGATTCGGTACATTGCGTGTAAATTTACAGATATACAGTATTGTAATAAGGAGCTCTGCTAGCATAGTGGTTACGAATCAAGCTACAAACTGCAAGGTCCGCAGTTCAAAACTACCAGCTGTTCCTCGGGAGAAAGATGAGGCTTTCTGCTCCCATAAAGATTTACAGCCTCAGAAACCCTGTACAGGGTTGCTATGAGTCAGAACCGACTCCCTGGCACATAACAACGACAGTATTGTAATACGTGGATTAAAATACACAAATCATAACAATTTCCTCTGACAGTGAAGAAGAGGATTTGGATGACGTTGGCATTTTGTCAGTTGTAGTAATCATTCTGGAGTCCTGGTGTGGCACTGTAGGATTAGCACTTGGTCGCAAGGTTGGCAGTTCAGACTCACCAGCTCTTCCTTGGAAAGCTCATACAGAGTCAGGATGAGTTGGAACAAACTCGATGGCACTTAGCAACAGCAGTAATAATTCCACTTGTAGAAGGTTCTGGTCTCTGCATTACCCCTGGAAATGGGGATGGTATTTCTATTCAGAAAATTGTCCAAGTGTTCCTTTTCTTTTTTTCACACATTTTGTGATAACACCTCACAGCTTCCCAAATTTAGCAAGCAATCCAGTTTTTAAAGCAATTGAAGCCCCTGATTTAGTTTAGAAACAGAATGTGTACAACAGTGTTTTGAACAGTAAATTATAAAATTCAGCATCTGTGAGTGACTGTCTGAGAATGATAACATCAGATTACACACTGCAACACAGTGTATGGTACATATTATTATAGCGTCAAGATTACAGAAAAGGAAAGCAAATAGTCTTAAGTGCTAATCTTCATAACTTGAATACACCGTAAGTCAGGGACTGCCCGTAAACTAACTGGAAAGACAAGGTTCGACAGACCAAAGGCTTGGTTGCAGGGAAAACTATTACTCACTTTGTGTAAGTCTAGGAGCAGTGATAGGAAGAAACAAACATACCAAAAACAACTGAGAAAAGTGTTTGACTAATAATTTCAGAAGTGGTAGATTTGATAATGTTAAAATGAACTTGATTAGAACAGTGTAGTTGAATTGGAAGAGACATGGAGAGGAGGCAGGGAAAGATGTCTTGTAAGTACTGTTGAAGCTGCGATTTATAGAACAGTTCGTGTGAGGTGAGGTTTAAGTAGATATTTAAATATCTTGTTGTGTCCTCTGGAATTGGTTCTGACTCATAGCGACCCTGCATAGGGTTTCCGAGGCTGTAAATCTTCCCCGAAGCAGGAAGCCTCATCTTTCTCCTGTGGAACAGCTGGTGGTTTCAGACTGCTCACAGTGAGATTAGCAGCCCGATTCATAACCACTAAGCTACCAGAGCTGTGATATAAATATCTTAATAGGTAAGATATTAAAGTAGAAAGAAGGAAGAGGTAAAAACAAATGCTTTGTGGAATTAAAGAAAGAAAGAAATGGCATCATAAACAGAGAAACATTAATTAAAACCCTGGCATTGGGTAAGTTTCCTAAGGGGAGGAAAGGTTGAGGACCAGTTGTTAAATACTAGGTTAAGAAAGAAGTAAGACCAATGGAGGAGTCCTGGTTGTGGTGCTGTTGGTTAATGCACTGGATTGCAAAGTCCGCTTGAACTGGAAGGCCTGTGGTTCAAGTTCACCAGCTGCTCCTTGGAAACCCTATACAGGGTCGCTATGGGTTGGAACTTGACTCGACAGTACTTAACAACAACAAAGACCAGTGGACAGAAGGAATGCAGAGATAAAAGTGGGATGAGAACCCTCCAAGGTGGATACAGGTCTCCAAGGACAGAGAGGGTCCACTTTGCTCAAAATGAAAGGACAGTAGTAGATATATCAAACGTATATGCTAGGTAGATAAATGGTTGCTAAAAGGTAATCTTTACATCACTATTCGTTTTCTTGGATTGCAGATTTTTAAAAAAATCCAAGCTTAGTGACCTGTGTTACTGTTGTTATAAATACTCAAAATCTCTGCAGGGAATTGAAGGTGTTTGTATAGCATTATGCCTCTTGGATGTAATTGTCATTTGAACCTTAAACTACCTTTACTTTCATGCCTAGTTAGTAATCGTTTGATTACATGATTACAGAGTGAAAATGGGAAAAATGAACTGAAGGAGAGCAGAGGTTCAGCCAGTTGCTGCTTCTAGATAAATGTATTTCAAAACTTTTTCAAGGCATAAAAATAGACACCATCACTATTGAAAATGAATCAGATGCTACACAGATACTCCCATTCCTGAAATTTAGAGTTAATTTTATCCTCAACATCAATTGTAAAGAAGCTGTTAGCAAAATGTGAAAATGTATCAATTGTGCTATATAAAGCCATCCACACACATTCAAACCTGCTGCTGTAGACTCAGTTCTAACTCATGGTGACCCCAGCTATTCAAAAGTAGAACTGCTCTATGGGGTTTTCTTGATTATAATATTTATGGAAGCAAATTGCCATGCCTTTCTTCAGCGACACTGCTGAGTGGGCCCAAACCACAAAAAAACACAGCTGTCAAGTTGATTGCTTTCTGCCACCCAGGGACCTTAAGACTAGTATATGAGAAAGTAGAATTTTGGAATTTGCCAAGTGGTAATGAGGAAACGTGAGTTTCAGATACTTGAAGTAAATTATGCACATTTCCCATATCTTTGATTTTTAAGAAAATAAGGAAGTACATTTTGTTTTTGTTTGTTTTCCAAAAGGCTTTTTCTCAATATTTAGAAGACAAACAGTGCTTTTCCTCATGGTCTGGTGTAAGAAAGTGTAGGTTAAATGCATACCTTTAAATTAGACTGTCACTTTAGTTTTAGGAGTAGCGGACGGTATTTTAATGATATGACAATTTTTCCTTCTGATTCCTAATTTCTGCACATTGATGGTGGCGGTTTTGTGCCGTGGAGTTGGTTCCTACTCATAACAATACTGAATAAGTTTCCGAAGTTGTAAACCTTTACAGGAGCAGAAAAACCACTATGCTGCCAGAGCTCCTTCACATTAAAGTAATTTAAACACAGTTCTTCAGGAAACCCTCAAAGTTATGATTTATCCCTGGTTTATTGTTTTGTATTCTTGATTGTCCATTTCTCGCACATGTGTAAGTATAGTATCATTAGTATTATTACTAGTGAATTAAATATAAGAGATATAAATAAGTATATTTATGAAGAGCTAAAAAAAAGCTTGGTAAAAATTACCTGTTTAAAATCATGAAATGTGTTAAACATGTACCTAGACACATACTTACATATTGACATGCATGCCCTTCTAGAAAAATCCAGAGCCACAGAGCTCTAGCTGCAGAACCGAATGGATAGATATACTGCATGCAGCCTTCCTCCTGTTTTATTCCATAAGGACTGTGTGGGTCATCTTTCTTTCCTTGAATAATTAATTGGGTAGCCTTACATTTATTTGGCTTTGCATTTAACCACATATAAAATGTTAATAGAAAAAAGTTCTGAAGGATGTGATTTATTTGTCCCAAGATTGTCAGGCAAACCTGATTCTTCAAAACCAAATATCAGACTGTAATCCAAGATTCAATCCTTTTCTTTCCTTTTAAGCTTAGTTTTGAGTTCAGATTCGTATTTCCTGCCCCCTAGTAAAGAACATTTTGTACTTTAAAAGTTTGCAGATTTTTGAAAAGTATGTGTGTTTTCTGGTCTTTGACATTAATAAGGGCTCCTTAATTATAACTTTTTTTTCTTTTTAGGTATGGAAAAATTGTTTCTACAAAGGCAATTTTGGATAAGACAACGAACAAATGCAAAGGTATGTTTTCTTGACTAATTATTTGCTTAATCATAGCTTTTTAAAAAAAAGCTGTGATGGAATATTAAACCTGATCTTGGTTTCAGAACTACATCCGTTCATTTTATTAAAAACTAAATCTTTTATGTCACCCATTTTCTGTCTTGCACAGTGTCAGCATATTGGTTACGTTTGTCCACCGTTGAGTTTTGGCTGGAAATTCAACAGCGGCTAACTAGTTTGCCAGAATTCCAGATTTGATGTCAGTGGAGTTAGGATGCAAAGTACTGGTTGGCATTTAGCCCCTGGTTTTAAAAGGAGAGTAGAGTTAGAAAATAGCTTTTCTTTCCTGAGCCTTAGGAGATTAGAGCTGCTTACTGAGGACCATTGGACTGTATTAAAGAACTGAAAAGATTACGTATTGTGCAAATTGGCTCTATTAATTAGAATAGAGTAGTTTTAAGCAGTACTTAATTACATGTTTCAATACTCCCAATTGTTCTCTGCTGAATGCCTGTTGATAATATTGGCGGTAGGGAGGAGAGAACCATTTTCACCAACCAAATTGTAATAGGGAGGGGAGGTCAGAAGCCCCTTTGAAATATGCTGCTGCATTAATTTGATGCACTGACCTTCAGTTTTCCGTGTAATTAGAATGAGCTCATCCAGCTCCATGAACTGGAAGAGGAGGCGTCTACAGGCAGTACTGATGCTCTGTAGTTCTTTTAATGATCCAGCATCTTAACAATAGGCATGTGATTTCTAGGTAAAGGGAAGAATGGCGTCAGCTGACTTTTAGTCTACCTACTGACCCCATGAATTGAAATAAGGTTGGCAGACAAGACAGAGAAGGCAGCTCTCCTCATTAATTAGACCCCTGGTTTTTTAAGCAGTGACGATGACAGTGCCTTAGCACAATCTGAAAAAGGCAAAGAACATAAATGAATGCTATGCGGTGGCCAGGCCTCGCCTTCGAAGCCAGTCACTTCGTTTAATCTAGAATTGAAGTAGCTCATTGTACTGCTTCAAAGGTCCCAAATTTGAAGAAGTTTTTGTGACAAATATCTAAGCCCACATTTAATCAACATGGCACATAAAGGCTGTGAATAGAGCAGTGCTTTATGTAGAGTAGTACTCAGATATTTTAAATTTAAGTAGAGTCGAGTTATAGACCGAAATGCATATACTGAGTTGCCAAAAATAGTCTTGTTTAGCATGCTCACACATGATTTGGGAGAACCAGAAACACAAGAAAATCTTTTAGTTTTATAAAGAACATGAACTCCTAGAGGCATACAATAAGAAGTTGATCTCAGACCTGGAGAGGAGTCACCATAAACAAGAGGTCACAGTCTTTGCTGCTCCTCCTCCTGTTTTCCTCATGAATGAAATTTTACATAGTAGTTCAGTGTGTTAGAAAGCAGAGTTAAGGAACGGAGAGGACCTAAAGCCTTCCTGGTTGAATTCTCCATCATACCCTGAACTAAAAACCACTGTTGTCTACTCTTCTCACTTGAGTACGTCTTCCCCAAGAGCCAAAATTCTACAGAATGTTAATATGATGTAGAAAAGATAGGGATTAAAAACTTACTAATGCCAAATCTAACATACTGCCACCATTTAAACCCCTAGGCATATTACATGGAACGTCAAAAAGTTCATGAAGAAAAATGCTGTTATCTTTAAAATTCCTTTTTTTTTTTTTTTTCATGAACTTTTTGAAGCTCATCATATTTAGTTGACATATAAGTTGGAAACAGTTGGGTAAGATCCAGAGATAAGCACAGAGCTTTGTGGTGCTTCTAAATAAGGGCAGGAATAATTCAGAACCGTTTTCAGATGCATGTTTCCTAGAAACCTTCCCTTCAAGATGGGGGTCTCATGAGATACATAGGGGATGGGAAGTGGTAGAAACTTTTCAGGGTCCTCTGCTTCAAATTTTCCTCTCTGAAAGAGGTGTCAGCAGATATCTAGTGAGTGACTGATTGAGAGGACTCATGAAAAATAGTATAGTTTTCATCTAAAAGAAGAAATAGCACGTAGTTCAGCAGTGATTCCTGGGATGGTGCAGTTTGCTATCAGCGGTGGCTTATAGGATGAATACTGAACTGCTGACAAGGTTGGTGGTTTGAGCCCACCAGCTGCTCCATGGAAGAAAGATGAGGCTTTCTGCTCCTGAAAAGATTTACAGTGTCAGAAACCGTATACAGAGTCACTATGAGTCACAACCAACTCGACAGTACTTAACAACAACAACTAACGAAAAGATTTGTGGTTCAGACCTACCCAGCGACAGCTCTGAAGAAAGGTCTGAGAATATGCTTCTGTAAAGATTACAGTCAGGAAAACTCAATGAAGCATTCTGCTCTGAAACACATGGTATTTCCATGAGTCCAAAATCAAAGGCAATCAGTTTGGCATATGATGTTGGTTAGCATCCTAACCCATATTAAGGCACAGAATGATCACAAAGACTTATTAGGAAAAAATTGTTTTTTCTTTAAAGTTTTTATTGTAAGTTATGTGATAGTTTACATGGGAGAACATTAGGTTTACATTCATCCTATTGTATATCGTTTCATTGCCATGATTACAATCCCCTCCATCCATCATCAATCACCCAAAGGGTATACCCTGCAAGCCTGCCCCTCAGTCATCAGCACACAGCCCCTCTCCCTCTCTGGGTCTAGAGTCCCCAGCCGCTCCATCTCTCCACGTCATCATCTCTGCGTCCATCTCTGGTGTCACTTTTTCTCTGGGGGAAGAACTTTTAAGAAAAGTGAAAGTTGCCAAGAAAGCTGCCCTAAGGAATTGTTTTCCATCCTCTATAATACACCTGCTCATTCCTCAGAGGTAGCAAGGGCTGTCCTATTTGAATTTCATTGGAAACCTTACCCTGCCCACCTACAGCCCTGATCTTTACCCCTTCAGACTTTTTGTTTCCAAAACTCAAGGAGCATTTAAAGAACCACGATTTGAGTCCCTAGAAAATGTCAAAAGTGTTGTTTTGACATGGTGTAAATCAAAGAGCACCAAATTCTTTGGACAAGGGTTAGTGAGATGTAAACACAGCATTCAGAAAGTATATAGATCTAGGAGGAAATACTGAGAAACAGTAGCTTCACATTTGTATGTTTTTTGTTTAATAAAGGTTTCTGTGATTTTTTGTTGTTGTTGTTAAGTGCTGTCGAGTCGGGTCCGACCCATAGCGACCCTGTACAGGGTTTCCAAGGGTGTAAATCTTTACGGGAGTAGAAAGCCTCATCTTTCTCCCGCGGAGCGGCTGGTAGTTTCGAACCACTGACCTTAAGGTTTGCAGCCCAATTCGTAACCACTATGCTACCAGAGCTCCTTTTTTGTAGCAATCCTTTTTTTTTTAAGTACTCTTCTATGACAAAGGAGCTCTGGTAGCGTAGTGGTTACGAATTGGGCTGTGAACCTTAAGGCCAGCAGTTCGAAACTACCAGCCACTCCGCGGGAGAGAGATGAGGCATTCTGCTCCCGTAAAGATTTACAGCCTCGGAAACCCTGTACAGGGTCGCTATGGGTCGGAACCGACTCGACGGCACTTAACAACAATAACAACAACTTCTATGACAATTTAGGACAATGAAGTTAACAGAAGATTGATAATTATTTATGCTTCCATTTAAGACCAACCAGTACATACGTATACACATACAAAAGTAAATAAATAAAATTTAAATGTATTGTTGTTGTATGCCTTGGAGTTGGTTCCGAATCATAGCGATCCTGTATAGGGTTTCTGAAGCTGTAAATCTTTATGGGAGCAGAACACCTCATCTTTCTCCCACGGAGCAACTGGTAGTTTCGAACTGCTGACCTTGAGGTTAGCAGCCCCTCTTGTAACCACTACTCTATGGATCAGGATAAATCATATCAAAGGAGAAATAAAGGCAAAAGCAGGAAATCTCAGGTTAAAGTGCTTTCTGTAAGGATTTGTATGTGGAATCCCAAGTGCTGCAAACAGTTAACATGCTTGGCTGTTAATCCAAAGGTTGGAGGTTCAAATTCACCCAGAGCTGTTTCAGAATAAAGCCCTGCCTGTCTGCTTCCAAACAATCAGCCATTGAAAACCCCATGGAGCACATTTCTGTGCTGTCACACATGAGGTCATCACAAGTGGTGGTGGTTGTTTTTTAAGGTTTTAAGGACCCTTGCCATCAGTGAGCCAAAATATGGTCCTGCATTTCCTAGTGGCCAAAGCAAAACTAGAGAATATAGCCAGTCCCATGGTTTTAGTCATTCACAATTTGTGCCTTCAAGTCAGTTCCCACTCATAGTGACCTGTATAGGATTTCCAAGGAGTGGCTTGTAGAGCCACCAACTTTGCAGTTAGCAGTCCACTGCTTATCTGACAGTGTCACATCTTCAGGAGAGGGTAATCCAGGTTGCAAGAGAAATAAAATCATTCCTGGTATGGAAACCTGACCAGACTCCTTCTGGAAGCCCTCAGTAAGACGCTAGGTTATTTATATCATCTTTAAAAACTCCTTTTACATAATCTGCTTCATCAAATCTGTATAAATTAAGTTCTTTATGTTGTTGTTGTGAAGTGCTGTCGAGTCAGTTCCGACCCATAGCAACCCTATATGGGGTTTCTAAGGAGAAGCTGGTGAGCTTGAACCACTTGACCTTTTAGTTCAAACGGTTTTGTAGTCTGGCACATTAACCCATATTGCCACACCAGGACTCCAAGTTCTAAATTGTTATTGTTGTTAAGTGCCGTCGAGTCGGTTCCGACCCATAGCGACCCTATATAGGGTTTCTGAGGAGTAACTGGTAGCTTGAACCACTGGCTTTGCAGTTCAGACAGCTTTGCAGTCTGGCGCACTAATTCACAGTGCCACACCAGGACTCCAAGTTCTATATAGTCTTGTGTTTATTTGAAAAATAATATGGATAGAAAATGCAGTCATCTAAGGTTTGCTTACAAACATATAAACTGTTAATGTCTTCAGCAGCTGTTTATGAAATTGATAGAATGTGGTGGTGATAGTTGTTGTTAAGTGCCGTCGAGTCGGTTCCAACCCATAGTGACCCTGTACAAGGTTTCCAAGTCTGTAAATCTTTATGGGAGCAGAAAGCCTTATCTTTCTCCCGTGGAGCGGCTGGTAGTGTTGAACTGCTGACCTTAAGGTTCGCAGCCTGATTCGTAACCACTACACTACCAGAAAATGTGGTAGGCACTAGAAAAGGCCAGAAAAGGAGGTAAACAGTTAAAATACATCCATGAAGGATTTTTCATAGCAAAGTAATAGCTTGCAAGAATAGAAACTTCAGGTACAGTGACCTGAAAATTGAGACCTTCAGTATATTGTTTTATGTTGACAGTAGCAAGGTTGGGGGAGAAATTAAAACATCCATCAGTAGTTTCATGTCTTCAAAGAATGTTACATGTTAGCTTTCAAAGCAGATTTCCAAATAACACCTAAAATATAGTCAGCCTAATTTCTAACCTAGCGGTTGAGTAGCATTCTTTGCTTTTACTTGCATCAGCCCTTCTCTTCTCTGGCCTGGATAATTTTTCACTGTCTAAATAAAATTAAACTTTCTATCAACCTAATTTCAAATAATATAAGGTAGGTGCTGCTTTTTTCAGCATTAACATTCATCTTTCCTAAAACATCTGTTTAGTCATCAGTCAGCTTCTCCTTTTCCTTGTTTTGTTCCCATGAAATGTTTTTGATACTTTCACTGCAAAACTGACCTTTGCATAATTTCTGGGCTTTCTGTTGAATTTTTTGATACATGTATTTGTCTAAGTTGATACCAGTTCCATACTGTCTAAATTACTGTTTCTTTTATGTCACATATAAATAAATGATAAGGCCCTGTTGTATACAAACTCCAAACAGGGCTTTTATTTTCAGAATATTCTTACTCATGTATAATTCATTATAGTTAGATTGAGTTCTGAGATAAAAATATGTTCATATTTTGCTTGGTACCCTAATTTTTTTTAACATTGGACTAAATAAAAGTTTACCTTTTCTCAGTAACTTAAGAGTTTTCGCAGTGAAAAACTCAGTGCTTGTTTATTTTTATACAATGATACCCATGGGACCTGCTGAGATTCATGGAGCTGTTTGCAGTTAAACATTATAAATCCTGTGCTTTGTATAATTTTTCTTTTTGTTACTAGTTACTAGCTTTCACTTATAGAAGCCACTCATTTGCTTATTTTTTAGCTGTACTTCTCTATTCCTTTCCTTCTCCTCCCTCCCTTTCCCCCCTTGATTTCCGGCATTTGATTTGTTGTGGCCAGAGAAAAGATTACCAATTTGTTAAAACAGTTTGTAAGGTTATGGCTTATTTTTCCTTTTAAGTGCCATCAAGTTAGTTCAGACTCATAGTCACCCTGTGTAGGATTTCTGAAGAGCGCGGCTGGTGGGTTTGAACCACCAATTTATGGTTACCTGTCCAGTGCTTATCCATGTGCACCAGACCAGCCCTCCTAAAGTTATGAATGTTGTTGCTATTAAGTGCTTTTAAGTCAGTTCCAATACATAGAGACCCACTGTAGGGTTTCCTAGAAGCAGCTGATGGGTTTGAACTGCCAACCTTGTAGTTCACATTCCAGTGTTACACCACTTTAAATCAGAGCCTCTCATACAAGGTTGTTTTACTGTGTTTGTTTTTTGTATTTTAGGGCATAAACTGATGACAACCGTTTTGGTTATCTGGAGACATATTTTCCCCTTTATTTTGAAGAGAAATATTGAGGTGTTCAGGGTCAATAACTTTATATTTTGGGTATTTAACAGGACTTCTGTACTCCAGATGTGGCACTATAGGATCAGCGCTGGACTGCAAACCACTAGGTCAGCAGTTCAAACCACTAGCTGCTCCTCAGAAATCCTGTACAGGGTTGCTGTGAGTCAAAACCGGCTGGACAGCACTAAACAAAACAGTAACTTTTTAAAAATTATTTGAAATGTTGTTGTTGCTAAGTGCTGTCCAGCGCATTAGCTCACGGCACCACACATAATAAATGGGATATTTTGTGTTTGTCATCAGAAAGTTCAGCAAGATAGATTCTGCTTTTCGTATTTAATCATTCAAAATGATATTTCTCTGAACTCGACTTGTATCGTAAAAAAAACTGGTTGACAACTTAGGTACCGTTTTTCAGTTAACTGTAAGGACATCTTAGAAAGAGATGTTGAATAGGAAAAAGTGGGTTTGTAGGAGTTTATTGTTTTGTTTTCCTCACTTTGAAGTGTTGAAAAGCCATGGTGGGACAGCGTATTGGACTGATAACCACAAGGTCTGGGGTTCAAATCCACCAGCTGCTCCTTAGAAGAAAGATGATGCTGTCTGCTCCGGTAAAGATGTACAGTTTCAGAACCCTCAAGAGCTGTTCTACTCTGTCTAAAGGGTCACCATGCATCAGAATCAGTTGATGATAGTGGTTAGATTTTGATTTTCTTTTGGTTTTGAAGAGTGGCTTCTCTAACCCAAGATAGACAGTGGGGAGGAAGCCTGGGTCCTCTCAGGATTATAGGGTTTTCGTTCTATTGCCAATATCAGCAATAAAGTAGAACAGACTCATTCTTTTACTCTTGACATAACCATAAAATAATGGCCTTCAAACTAAGTGTGTTTTTTGCATTTCAGGTTATGGTTTTGTTGATTTTGACAGCCCTGCAGCGGCTCAGAAAGCTGTGTCTGCCCTGAAGGCTAGTGGAGTTCAAGCTCAGATGGCAAAGGTGAGTCATGCACTCTGGCATGCTGCATTGTGTTGTATGCTGAGCTTACCTGCTTTCCAGTCAGTCACCCTTTCCCGTATTCCCGCCATCCCAGCTGACCAAAGTTACTTCAGGACATTGGTGCCATACCTCCACATCCTCACCAGTAACTATTGTGCTGCAGATGAACTAGTCCTCATAATCTGAGAACTTTCAAATATATAAAATTATATATAGTCAGTCATGTAGCTTCATTATTCATGGTAAATCAAGGAATAACACCAGATTTCTTCAGGCAATCAGGTATTTGTGGTTCTTTAAAAACTGTACTTTTTTTCTATTTTTTAAAACTTTTTACTGTGAATTGGGTGAAGGTGTACAGATACGATCATCAGCTCTACAGTCAGCAAATGATACAGCTTGTTTCATCTCAATGATTACGACCACTTTTATCCCACTTCCAGTGGTTCACCATTTACATCTTATATTTCACAAAGGAGCAAGGCAAACAATTTGATCCTGTACTCGTTTTTTAAAATAATCTTGAAAATGCCCTTGTTCAAAGACTTGTGTGTAAAATGTTTTGAAAGAATATAAAAAATGACGTAGCACACACTTCGTAAAGCAAATGTTACGTTACAGATGCTACTTCTTGTGCACAATAGGCAAACATTTGTGACATTGATCATATATGGGATATGAATCTTGTATGCTTCAGTAGTTCTACAATGACTTTATCCAACTCCTCTGATGAGCTTTTAGCATCTAGATGAGGATTATGGATAAAGAATCCTTCTAAATGAGATATATTCCTGAATATTCCATGATTATAAAGCAGAGACCATCTAATAATAAATGTGGATTTTTAGCACAGTACACATGGATTTTGACTGATGTAAGATACATTGTTTTTCTTGAAACTTTTGTGGTAGTTTCTTTGTAAAGTTTTCCTCAGGTGATTCTAGTTCAGATTGAAATCATAATTCATTCTAAAAGCTGAAGGTACCTCAGATTATCTGGTCCAACTTGCTACTTTCAGATAGGTGTGATCTTTTTTATTAAGAATTCAGATTCTGAGAAGAGAATAACCTTGAAATGGCATATGTATCTCTTAAGTATTTATATTCTGCAGCAGGCATTACCGTTACTCAGTAGATACTGGACTCATGATTGTTTCAGGACTCACTATTAAGTAAATTGATATTTATGTTCCATTCTTTATTACCCAGTTCTAAGAGCATAGTACTTAGCACCTACAATGCAGTTATAAAGATGTTTATGCACTCATGTAGATTTTCCATGATCCTTCAATTGCTCTGGAAAGTATTGTCGGGCATCAATAATGTTTATATTGTCTGGATTCTTGAAATACAAAGGAAAGTAATTTGTTGCTGTCCTCTCCTACTTCAGGGTAATAGAGCATGATCATACCCTTACAAGTTTCCACATTTCCATAGGAAAGAAAGTTTATAGAAGTTAAAGGACTCTGTAATAAAGAGATAAGTTACCTGCTAAGATCTTAAGGCTACTTGAAAGACAGATATAGAGATTAACCTGGAATAAAATTTTCAGTGTAAATAAAGATTTGGGGAATTCATGAAAGGAGTCACCTTTCTAACATCATTCTTGACTTTCAGTATTTCTAAAGCTCTGGATTGTGTTGGATTTATTTTAGATTTTCTTAAGCTCCAGAATTAAGAAGTTAAAATAAACAGGAACTTTTAACTACTAAGCCCCATAATTTTTCAGATTATTGTCTAGAGTATGTATGGAACAGTTCCCTGTCGAATTGTTGAAAGACAGATATCTGAGGTTTTAAATATATGTATTGTGAATATGTAATAACCTACTTTGCATAATGATTTGGCAGAATGTTAAATCCATCACTGTAAACATTGTGTTATCATATAAACAGGGCTTTTAGGGCACAGTCAGAAAACAACTCTTATTTCTTCCCCTCTGCCCATTCTAACATTACCCCTGAAGCTTCTATTTCCTCCTCCTCCTCGGATAAAATCCAACACAGGCCCCATAACTTTTCTGACAATTCTCAGATAATAGTAAGTCTTCAGTCATTTCTTTTATTTCAGATTTTTTCTGGTTAATGTTTTATTTGGTACAATGCCTCTTGATGTTTTTAAATCAAATTTCATAGAATGTACATACCTCTCAATATATTGTATTTGCATCATCCAAATTCAATATGGTATTTTTCAAAAGAGGTTGCATGGGGAAAGTCTCAAGTTGCATTCCAAGTACAGTTTGTAGAATGTCGGAATCGTGTAAAAGTTTGAAAATTGCTGAGCATCAAGTGAACATAAGGGATTTACATCTCTGATGTTAATGCTAAGAAGCATCATAACCCACAAAGCAACTGTTTGTTAATAGTGATTATCTGATGAGTAGGAAGCAATGTTTTAAAAATTTGCATTCCAACATTTCCATTGAGTGTGTAACGTGTGTGTATTGTGTGGATATAATTATATTTGATTAGGGTTGTGATGGGTGTATAACAGATTATAATTTTCCTACTTAAAATAATGCCAAGTAGGATCCTGGTTCACATTTTCCTGCCGGTTGTCTGATTTTTAAGGTAGATTAATGATGTTAGGTGTGTGATACTTGTAATTTAAATGTCCAATCTAGAAAATCATGTAATGTTAAAGACCTCCCCAGCTCAGGGATGGGAGCATACATTAGTTGCTTTCCTGTTTCCTAAATGTGTGTTTTTCCCACTTCTCTATCACCTTGCTGATTATGGTTTCTAACTTCTTTAGGGTCAGAGCAGGATTAAAGGATGGGAAAGTTCTTTCTTAACCTGACACTGTTGTAAACTGGTGATTTCTCTAGCCATTTAGAAAGGTGAAGCTTCATTTCTTGAGATGCTTTGTGAAATTTTTGGAAATTTCTACCTCATTCCCCCAAATGATGGGAGTAGATGGCCTTTCCCCTCAGTTCCTTGGAGCGAGAGGTTGCATATCCTTTGGTTGCTATCCTCAGCTCATGGTAATCTAATTGTCTGTCTTCACCCCTTTCTTTCTGGGATCTCCTTGCCCCTTAAGGCAGCCATTTTGGGAGGATCTAACACAACCTTGGTCCAATTCTATCTTGTGTGGCCCACTTCTGATCTACCTGTGCCAATTTGCCGTAGGAAAGTACTTATTTCCTTACTGTTCTGATTGTTGTTGTAAGTGTCACTAAGGTGATTCCAACTCATTGCCACCTTGTTGTATAGGGTTTCTGAGGACCAATTGGTGGGTTTGAACTGCCAACCTTGCAACTAACCATCCAGTGCTTATCCTACAGGGCCACATCAGAACTAATAGGCCATTTCAGTTAGCTCTTTGCTTTTTTTTTAGATGCCTCTGGTTTAAGTTGGAAATCCATCCATCTATCTGTCCAATGCAGCAAACTCCATGGTGCATAAATCAAGTATCCTGAGTGGTCTATAAAAGCTCCTCTTGCTTGAATTTGATAGCAAGTGGTAGGAGAGCGTACTCCAGGATGAGACTCAACACATCAGCATATCTTTCCACATAAAGTACTTATTCTCAACCTCTCTAATCTCTTACAAACAGGAGGTGGGTACAGTCAGCTAGGCACCTCAACCCAGTTGCACTCCTGTGCAGGCTCTCTTGAGTTGTCTGACTTCTCCCTTTGACACGGAGATAGCTAACATAATGTTTTATGCCCTGAGCTGAAGCAGTTAAAAGAGGAATGCTTCCAGATTCTGTGACAAATACACAGGCCTTACTTAAGAGTGGTACCATGAACACTGCATTTCCAGTGTCTCTTAAGATTAAGCAACACAGTTTATGAAATACATTCTGCTTTGAAGAAGTCTTTGCAGTGCATTTAGTCAAACCTGGAATGAGTCTAGATAGCCACTAAATATGTGCTATGCCAGCAGTGCTCTTTGAATACCAGCTTTCCCATGGGTTGGTAATGAGCACTGTTCAAAACCTCCTTAAAAAGCTTGATAATACTGTAAATTGGAAAGGAAAAAGGGATCCCTTCCTAGACTGTCTGCAGAAAAGGAACAGAGACTCTGACAATAAGCCAGTGCCAGTAATCTGCATGTTATGAATTTCTTCAGATTCCTGTAGCATGACTTTATTTCTTCTAGGCACTCATGAACAGAGTTCAATTAAATATAATTTTACATGTTCCTTTCTTAATTCTCATTATCTGTCTGCCCAAGCATGGAAGAAAGTTGTCCTCTCATTTAATTTTCCAAAAGTTCCAGTGCTATTCTTTATGGTGAACTTGGCAGATGTTTGAAATGTGTGCCTGTTTTTTTAAGACAAAGACTCAGAATCTGCTGGGGGGTGGGATGAGGGGGAGATCTCAACATTGATGATTATAGCTTAACATCTTTTTAGCTAGTTATTTCATCATTGTTGAGATCTGTTAATAGAGTGACATCTGTGGGCCTTCAGCACCTCTTAACGGGTTGTCGAGGGTCAACAGATCATTCATCATATATTTTGGGCTGCTGGTAGACTTTCAATTTTTTTCCTTCTTCTTCTTTTTTCAGTAAATAGGCAAGCAGTTGAGCAGGAATTCAATCCCCCTTCCATACACAGAGGCCCACCATGCTCCAAGCAGTTTGCAGTTGCATGCCTGTGAGCAGCTATCTGCTGGTTGGTGAACCTATTCAGTACAAGAGAAAACAGATGTCTGGTCCTCCTGCCAAGTCCCTTTCTTGTGTTTTCGGAACCATTCCACACGCACAGGGAGGTTTTGTTAATTTCTTTCAGATGATGACTAAGTGCTTTACATTATGCAGGACCTCCGAGCCCCACTTTCCTACTCAAGCGAACATTAGTAGCTGTTTATCCCTCTCACAGCCTATGTGGGATCTAGTTTTCTACTTGTTAGAGGAGCCATTGAGCCCTTTCTATGCCCAAGGATGTAAAAGAGACCCATGGGCCCCTTTGCGTGCTTGGCTCCCCATAATTTACAGCACTGGTTTTTCAACCATGGCATTATATGTAATAAAGCCAAGTATGGCTTATCATGGATTTTAAAGAGACTAAATTAATCTCATTCAAGAAGTACCCCAGTTACTTTGCAAGTATGATATGTTCTGTTCGCTTTGAATACTTGGTAATTAGAATGCATGGATACTTTGGGAATTAGATCATTTTATGGCCAGAGCTACTGGCATAGAGTTTCTACTATTTTATTTGTTTTTTAATTTAAAAAATTATTGCAAGTTTGTGGATATTGTTTGCAAGGCAGATTGAACATTCATAAAGAAAGATAAAATAGCATTATCTCTGAAAATCATCCCAAATGTAGAAACCCAATTAACTAAGTGTTATTACTATTGAAACTAAATGCGTAAAATCATAGGAAATGTGTACCTGTATTTACTGTACTCTTCTGGTGTTGCACTGTAGGATAAGCACTGGTTGCTATACAAGGTACGTGGTTCAAATCCACCAGCTGCTCCTTGGAAACCCAGTACAGGGTTGCTATGAGTCAGAACCGACTCAACAGCATTTAACAAGTCTACTCTCCATCATTATATCAAAGAATGGTTTAAGAACTCAATATCATTCAGAGTTCTGATTTTAGCAGTTTTTAATATTTTTTTCTCCATTTGATAAATTTTCAAGTTGAATGAGGACTAAAGCATTTATAATATGTGCATAAATAATAATAAACCTAAAAAAATTAAGCTATTGCTTTCCAGTGTCAATTCTGATTTGTGGCACCTTTATTGTTAACCGAGAAGATCGGTTCCATAGGGTTTTCCTGGTTATGACCGGCCTTTTCTTCTGCGATGCTACTGGATGGGTTCAGATTGCTGATCTTTAAATTAATATCCGAGAGCAAACCATTTGTGCTACCCAGGAACCTAGTTTAATAATAGACTCAACTAAAACACAGACGTAGAAAGTACTTATTCCTACTTTTAAAATACTTCACATATGACAAATTCTTTGGGAATTCTTTATTAGTAATTTGGTTTTTTATATTTGTAATTTTAAAAAGCACACATTGTTAATGACACATGCTTTGTATGAAGCTTTTTTTTCATGCCATCTTTGTTTAAAGAGTGTTTTAATTCTCTTTAATTAGGGAACAGCTGGCTTTATTCGGAATCTGAGTTAGCATGATTCATAAAACTTTCTAGTAAGATTAAGTCTGATAGTACTGCTTCCCTGCTTCCT